TGATTGTGATGGGCGTTGCATTGCCAAGCATTGTTTCCAAAGTCCCTTTTGTGAGGCCAAAGATAAGTTGCTCGTTTTATTTGGGAGCGTTTATAGAATTGTACGCTGTGGGGGGTGTTCTAGGTCTGTGTCACTTCTGTAATTTGTTCTTCCTCTCTGAGGTCAGTGTCGGTTCATTGGAGATCACCATGAACAGTATGGCATTGTGCAGACCAGGAATGTTAGGTTATACACCTGCCTTGCATTGTTTGCTCTTTTTCTCAGTTTATAAAGAAGTCGAAGTTCAGGCAGCAGGAGCATTGTCTGCACTGTGCTCCATTCATTCTTTGTTGTGGTTACTCGGTACTGGTCGATACAGAAGCCATATATGTTGGGGGCCCAGGCCACTTTGTTTTTCTCATCTATACACTGACACTTCTGAAGCCTTTTTAGGTTGTCGCCAGGTCAGTCTGTGCAATGCAAAGGAGATTACAGACTGTCAATGTGCTAGTAATTCAACTACTGGCATAGATGGGCAGCATGGTGGCTCAGTGGTTAGCACCTCTGCCTTGCAGCACTGGGAGGACACTATGTGCATGGAGTTTGCATGTCTCCCTATGCTTGCATGGGTTTCCGACGATTAGTTGTTGCAGCCCTAGGTAGCTGTGCGGGGATGAATTGTTTGAGAACGTGATGGTTGATTGGTTAGGTTGAGGTTGGATAGGCTTCCGTGAAGAGATGAGTCTTTAGGGAACGCCTAAAGGCAGTTAAGGTGGGAGATAGACGGACAGGTTGGGGTAAAGAGTTCTAGAGGATGGGAGAGACTCTAGAGAAGTCCTAGAGGCGAGTATGGGATGAGTTGACAAGGGAGCTTCCAGATTGTTTCCGGACCCAAAATGCATCCTAATGTATCCCTATGCTATTTCTGGCCTGTATGTCTCATTTTGTCTGGTCTGCAATACTCTGCAATTGCGGGCAGGTTTACACCATTTCCCGGACCAGATCTGGTCCGGACATGGTGTGAGCCTGCCCTAAATTGGCCCTGTATGTACGTGTGTACAATAGGGATCTTGGATTAAGCTCCTTGAGAGCAGGGAATGATGTGAATGTGCATGTTGAGCGCTGCATAGATTGTTGGCGCTATATAAATACTTGTAATAAATAATTACCCAATCACTAAATTCTCATATCTCATTTTAATCTTGTATTTTCATTTTTTGGAATACTGGTAATCCTGACATGAAGGTCCATGTTTAGGAGCTTTCTATTATGAGGTGACAACTGTGTTGCAGTTGTGCTTCTGCGTTGTCGTTTGCACCTCTAGTGTAGATTACAAGTGGCTGTGCTGACACACATTGGCTTGGGATGGAACACCGTTGTCACTATTGGGAAGCGGGTCATGAACAATGATGTGCAGCTAATGCTAGAGCAAGAGTATGCAGACAGGAAGTGGCTGAAAGAAGCTGCAGGAGATCAGCTGCCCATAGATGAAAGATGAAACTCTTTGTCCCTGTCTTTGCCTTAACTCCTGCGCTGTCGCCCTTTTACATAAACGTCTCGTAAAGAGTACATGTTTCAACACACATTGCACTGGCATGGTCTACTGTTGTACCATCAGGAAACCAGGCCTGGGGAATGTCATGCAATTATTGTTGGAGTGCATGTAGACAGGAAGTAGCTGCAATCAAAGATGTAAAAAAAAGTATGCTTTAGCAAATTAAAGGAGAACTATGAGGTGAGTGCTTTTCACTCATCCTCATAGTTCTAGCCAACCTGTGACAATGAAACTGTCACAGGTCGGCTCAGTAGATCGGGAAGTGAGCGAACACACACCGGCGCTCTCTCACTTCTGGATTCCCCCCTCCCCGCTCCGAACCTCCTGCGCTGACTGGCGGAACGGATGGGAGAGGGGGCGGGTACAGCTGGCTCTGCCTCTGGATAGGCAGAGCCAGCGGTCTCTCACACAGCTGGGCGGATCCAGACATAATTGTCGGGATCCGCTTCAGCTGCGGCGTCTCAGTATACTGCGAGCTACAGCTCTCGGTATACTGAGCTTAGGGTGACGGGAGGACGCTAGTTTGTGTCCTCCCGTTACCCTAAGGAGAACTATGGGAAAAAGCCCTGACCCCATAGTTCTCCTTTTAAGGTTTCTATTTAAAAACTGCTTGCAGGGCCCTTCATCCTGCAGATATCTGAACGTTTGTTCTGTGTGAATAATGGCAAAACAAACGTTTGTATTATATTTTCTTTTGAGGGCAAATGTATTGTGATGTAACACTGCATTACTAGATGGAGCTGTGGAGCTTAGGAAATATTTAATAAGCGCCATCTAGTGGCCATTATGCAGTATTGCATAACAAAATACTCAACCTTAAAGGAGAACTATGGGGTTAGGGGTTTTCCCCATAGTTCTCCTTAGGGTAACGGGAGGACACAAACTAGCGTCCTCCCGTTACCCTAAGCTCAGTATACTACAGCTCGCGGTATACTGACACGATGCAGCGGATGCCGACAATTATGTCTGGATAAGCCCAGCTGCGTGAGTGACCGTTGGCTCTGCCTATCTAGAGGCAGAGCCAGCTGTACCCTCCCCCGTCCGTTCTGCCAGTCAGCGCTGGAGGAGAGGGGAATCCAGCCCCTCCCCTGTCACGGCAGAGAGCTGTGACAGGATTGAGAAGTGAGCGAACGCCGGTATGTGTTCGCTCACTTCCCGATCTACTGAGCCGACCTGGGACAGTCTCATTGTTACAGGTCGGCTAGAACTATGAGGTGAGTGAAAAGCACTCACCTCATAGTTCTCCTTTTAAAAGAAAAAAATTTATATTAAGAACATTCGAGTTCTCTGAGTCTTTCGCCCTGCAAATTTGTGTGATTTGTTTAATAAATGCCTTTCAGTAAGATGTACATGTGTAAATACTAGGGGGACAGCAAAAATGACAGCTTCGGCTCCTGTGTACACTAGGCCAATTTATCGGCGCTGAAAAACCCAGGTCAGAATCTCCGAGAAGATCTTTTCCATGACATCAACTAGCTATATAGTTCCCAGAAGGTGAAGAGCATTTATGAGGAGTGAAGAAGGAATTCTTGGCCATTTTTCTGCACTGTACTACTTCATCTGCTATTTTCAATTATTGGCTTGAAAATTAATAGATTCCATTTATGTGTAGCTGCATCCATTCTATGAAACAAGGGGAACCGAATTTTCTGACTGTTCCAGCCCCCCACACTGGACCCCATCTGCTCAGTGTGCAGTTTTATGGCTTCTTATCAGTGGTGCAGAACAGTCATTATTTATCACTTTGGGGAACATTTGGCACTGAAGATTGCATTGATCTGTTGTTAAACACGGCTATTCACAGTACTGATGAAAAGCTAATGGTGCCGTTGTATGTGATCCGGAAAGAGCGCACTTCCAGTAATAACTAGAAAAGGTCTGCATAATGCATTGTACATTTTAGCTATTTAGAAGCCACATTTAGAACTTCTGCATTTCCTGTGTAAGGCCAAGAAACAGGTTCTCTTTAATGCCTCCTTTACTAGGTGCCTGAGTTTGTCTTCTTTTAGCTTCCCGTAATCTCCTGTGTAATAAGACTTGGGCTGCGAGACAGAAGGCCAGTGGTTTCAGCCAGTCAGTCTCTACTGCTTTGCACTGTACTGTCAGTGTACCACTGGACATTCGATGACAGGAAAGTGAAAAGATTACCCAAGCAGAATCCTGATGATCCTTCGATATATCTAATCAGCATGTGGGGGGGAGTAAAATGTGGGTCGTGACCAAGTTCTATTTACTGCAGTATGAAAAAGAATGATGCTGTCTAGCAGGGACTGATCATTGGACTGACTGGACAGAATCATTAAAGGAAAAGTATTTGGAGAATAAAATGTCTTCTTGATACTTAGTCGGCATGTGACACTTCAGCTGTCACACAGCGACTTTATAGATCGAGAGCTGATCTCTGAGCTCAGTCTTCTCCTTGCAGAGAGCGGTAACTGTCAGTCACCATTCCCCGCAGGGGAACCTGGGGAACACTGTTCCTCCAGCACTCATTGGAGGGACAGACATGAGAGAGGGCCGGCACTGCAGGCTCTGGTTCTAGAGATAGCTGTCAATCGGGCAGTGGGGGTCTTTCCCGGCTGCAGCACGGCTCTGTGCGGTCAGCAAATAGCGCATAGTAGCCCATTAGTAAGTGCACTCCTGTGACCCAAAAGTGGCTTTAGTTCTCTTTTATCTATTAGCAGTTGAGAGTTCATTACTGCGGATTGCCTGCAATTCCCACTTCATTGTAACTAATATTTCAGTTTTTGGATGTGCTTCAACCAGTGACCTTTTACTCTTGTGTTGTGTCACACTGAAGTTCATAGCTCCATCGTCGCACGTCCCTCATGAAGGCAAGTGTTGGTGTCTCGCTTGTCCTACTGCATTCCCTGTGATGGTAAATAAATGTGCGACATCTAAAGAAAGACGGAAGGAACATGGTGGTTGAGGGTGCGTGGGTGGGAACTTTGACACTTGGCCCTCACTTCTAGAATTACCAAGAGATAAAAGGCACAGCTCCCATACATGTTAATTCTGCTCACCCTGAGCTGCTGCCTACTCACATGCAGGAAAAATGTTGGCACTGGAGTGGATGGACTGGTTGGTTTAAGCTACATAGATGCAAAATGATTGGTGCTTAATCTGGCCTATTAGGCCTGTAGGCATTATGCAACCCTTGCAGAAACGCAGTAGAATAGGTAGGATGAATTTGCTTAGCCAATCACTGTTGGTCCTTCAGGATAACGCTGACACAAGTGGTGTCTTAACATTTGTGCTTGGCTGATCACGTACATGTTTATGCCATGATCCATCCTTCTCATTTCGTGTATTCTGCACCTCCTAGAAACCCCTTTCAACATGTCCATAGTGGTTCCCTGAGGCCAGTATACAAGAACATTGTTGGAAAGAGATCCTGTTTATCGTATGCAGCCATTTACTGCCTTTGTCTTATTTTTCTTCACCCTGTCTGTTCTCCCTTTTACAGAGCAGTGGCAAGAGCTCCGTATTGGAGAGTTTGGTTGGCCGGGATCTGCTTCCCCGAGGCACTGGAGTAGTGACCAGAAGACCCCTAATCCTGCAGCTGGTCCTCGCGTCAGCAGATGACCGCAGAAAAACTTCTGGAGAAGACAATGGTAATTGACGTTTCACAGATGTGCATTCTATTTTTTTTATAATGCAATTGCGCATTGGCCTTTGTAGTCTATATGTTGAATGATCATATTTCTTCAATATAATAGGATAAGATACTATTAGTGAGCAATGACAGACCTGCCCACATGCAGCCTGTTCTGTCCTGTTATGGGGGTTTATATTAAGTTCCAGTTATTTAAAATGCTTCACAAACATTAAATCATCATGTAAATAAAGCACAACTCCACCCATATTTTATTTATCACTTCTACATGGCTGCTGGAATGTTGAGATACGTGCTGGCTTCATATCGCTCAGAGATTCCAGTGGCCACATATCCGCCAGTGGCGTAACAATCACCATAGCGACCCAGGCGGTCGCTGTGGGGCCTGGCCAGATGCCGTGCGGGCCGCCTGGGTCGCTATGGGATCTTCTGCTGCTGGCTTTCACTGGCGTCTGAAGACGAACACGCCGCTGTTTAAATCATCTGTGCAGCGGCGCGTTCGTCTCCACAGTCAATGAGAGCCAGCAGCAGCGGGGTTGCAGGCTGGACCCGGTGTTCTATCAACGTCGCGAGCCTCTGACGTCACCGGCAGTGGAGGAGGAGGCGGGCCCGTGCTCGGCAGCAGGGGAGGAGGCGGCCTCGGTGACGAAAAAGTAGGCGGGCCTATCGACGGAGAAGGTAAGGAGTGCGACCAGCCCACCTGAGGGTGATCCTGCAGAGCCCACCATAGACTCTCTATGGTGGGCTCTGCAGTGTCACCCTCAGGTGGGATCTCGAGTGGGCTCTGCCAGGGGTATAACTAGAAATCACGGGGCCCCATATAAAATTTTGCTATGGGGCCCTGTGATTTCTAGTTACGCCCCTGATATCCGCTCTAGGTTTCCCAGTGCTTCCCAACTGCAAAGACCATTGTAAGTCAGGTGAAGGGCTCACTCTTCCCTGATGGATTTTCAATTGTGTAAAATAAGCAAATTATAGCTGTGATGGCGACATTTATTTATATAGCGCTGACAATTTACACAGCGCTTTACATTGCACATGTGCGCATTCACATCAGTCCGTGCCCTCAAAGAGCTTACAATGTAAGGTCCCTATATCACATGCATATAGACAGGAGCCAATTAACCTTCCAGTATGTCTTTGGAGTGTGGGGGGGAAACCTACACAAGCACAGGGAGAACATGCAAACTCCTGGCCAGTGTTTGAACTGGGGACCCCCAGTGCTGCAAGGCCACTACACTACTGTGCTGCCCATTTTCATTTTGTCACATCCGAAAGGGATGGGGTGGAGACACTAACTACATTACCACCTATTACCTTTTGGAGGTTCAGCTAGATAGCCAATGGATGTTTTGACTCTAATGCTTACCTAAAGCTGAAACCCTTTTGTGGGTGGAGTTGATATTTAATGGACTCATCGGGCACAAAGAACTAATTAAAAACTAAAAGAACTAAACTGTTCTAATTCTCTTTTTGGTATTCCACTTGTGCAGCTGTCTGCCCTGTTAGCTTAAAACTTTAATCAACCCCCCTCCCCATCCCCTCCAGTCCACCCCTAGCATATACTTCCCTTTCTCTCATTGCCTCGCTGCTTGATTCGGCACCATTACCCAAAGAAAATAACAGACCTGAATGAAGATGCAACTTTCTCTTTGTGACAGTGCTGGGCTCTGCCACATGGGAGTCCATAACATAACAAATTAGGATAGTGCGACAAGGGAGTGAAAAGTAAGTATACACTGCTGGAGAGGGGGGCGTTTAACGAAGAGCTCTGGGCAAATAAAACCTTAACCCTTGCAGTAGGGCTGCCTCTGCATTGCTAGGGTAAGGTGCTCATTTTGTCTAGAGAGCTAAAATAACAGTGTTGTACTCACCTGAACCACGATCCTGATTTGCTCCTAGACCGGTCCTTCCAGCCTCGCTCCCCCTCTACTCCAGCAGTCTTGGGTCCAGTGAGTCATCACGTCCTATACAGTGTATAGGATGAGACGATATCGAGGAACATTCCATTAGTGGAGTGAGGCTGCATTATTTTAGCTCCCTAGACAAAAAGAGCACCTAACCTTCGCAGTGCGGGAGTAGCCCCACTGTAGGGGTTCAGACTTTCTTTGCCCGGAGTTCTTCTTTAAGTGAGCTGAGCTGGTAGGTTTTGCTCCATAGGTGATAGTGCAATACTCCTTTCCACACTTCTTCACTGAGAAGGAATAAGGCGAGCATCCCTGGGGAAGAACCTCAATTCTGCTGTTTGTCAGTCTTGTCAGGTAGCTAGTAATTCAGAGATCTGTGAGCTTTTACATATATAAACCTGTGGAGTAGGACTATCATCATTCCCAGCCTGATGGGATTTAGAGGATGGGACTAGCACTGTATCCCATCATCCTTACTGGGTTTTGGGTCTTTTTGCTGAGTGATGGAACATAATTCAGCTTGATGTCAGAGGTCACTGCCTTGAAGAAAACAGAACTTCTTGTTCCAGTAAGTGCCGTCTTGTGGTCAGCTCAGGAATCATGTAGTTGCTGCCAGTAGAAGATGTAAAACCTCTGCTAAGATGGAGCATATTTCTCTTCTGCATGCGAAGGGAAATATTTTTTTCTTCCGTATTGGACAAATCCCAGGAGAAGGACAGCTAATGCAGCTGGAAAAAAACATTACAACGGGGAGCCTTAGTGAGCTTATGCTTACGTCAGTGGAAGTACATGTTCTAATTTGCCTTGGGCCTGCTAGTCCTTTCAAAGGGAACCTGTCATTCTTTCTAGATCTACAAGTTCTGCCTAAGAGCTGGCACAAGGAAAGGATCAATTTATTTTTTAATCGCTTTTTGGTTTGTTGTCTGGCAGCCCATGAAACGGCATGGTGTAATTTTAAATAACACTGGGTAAATAAAATGTTAACCCTTCACTGCAAGGGTTAAGTGCTCCTTTTGTCTAGGGAGCTAAATTTATAAGGGTTATACCCACCCAAACCATGATTCTTGCTGCCTGCTAGACTGGTCCCATCAGCCTCGCCCCCCCCCTCTACTCTGGCAGTCTGAGGTCCTATTAGTTATCACATCCTATACATTGTATAGGATGTGAGATGCTGAGAGACATTCTATTGCTGGAGCGGAGGAGATAGGAGCACTTTCTCATAAATATTGATTCAGGACAGAAACCAGTTGCTTTTGTGAGATGAATGTCCTTTGTAGGTTAGGAAATGAATTTACCACTAATCCTTTCTCTTTCTGCCGTTTTTCTCTCCACTTCTTTTTCCCTTTTATCAATCCCAGATATGGACATTTGGAAAAATCCAAGACTCAAAGGTCTCCTGTTTGCACACTCTTCCTGTTCTCTTCTACTTGCATGAGCTTTCTGCAGGCTTCTCTCCAGATCACTGGTTGCCCATCTTTCTGCTTATGGACCTGCTGGCACTTGTAGTCCCTTCCCAGCTGCAGTAGGCACAGTTTCTACCATCCAGTGAAAATAGTACAGCTATTGGTGGAGTGGGGCAGGGTTTAATGCATTGCTGTAAAGGAACTGGCAGAAGGTCTCTTCCCACCCCTGGGGCATCCTTGATCAGTATAGCTTTACTGCTAAGCTATTGTTGTTTCCAGCCCCATTCTTTGGGCCCGTTCACACCAGACGCAATGGGGTTGCATTGGCTGCTTTTTTTCAGTGCATAGACGAGGCAATTTGCGCTGGAAAAAAGCACGGCATATTGTAATTGTTTTCAGCAAAGTGTTACCTGACATGGTGGAACCGCATCACGCAGTGCTGTGTCGATTTGAATCGGTACTGTGTCTGTTATCGCCTGTTATCGCTCATCAGCAGCTGTGCGCTCAGCGTGGGTTCCTGGTGTGAACAGGCCCTAGTGTATGCCTATAAAAAGACCACAAGTGGCCACAGAAATCTAGTATTGTGCTCTCCCTGGTGGATATTCCATAGTAATGTATTTAAAAACTCAGACTTGTCTACACGATTTGTCAGGGTTGGGAGGAGATCTGTGTTCTTCACTCCTGCGCGCCCAACAGGTGACCATATCCTGCGCGCCCAACAGGTGACCATATCCTGCCTCACTCCATTGAAAATAGGAAAAACTGCACTGGTTGGAGGGACTGATGATCTCACTCTTGTGGGTATTTTCTATTTCCTACATTTCCTGTTTTTAGGTTCTATATTTTATCTTTTATTTGTGATTCATTGTTTAACATTTGATTTTGGCTGCAGGTTTATGCTGTGCCCTTGCTTGCTTGTTCCTGTTTATGTGACGAAAGTCGTTTTTAGTTTTGCTATTTCAGTGATTTAAAACATTGTTTTGTTCTTTAAACATAAGAAGAACACTACTGCTTTCAGGTGTAGTTATTGGTGTACTTGGGGCAGGGGGGATAATGTATCAGCAGTGCGGTTTAGCCGTGTGGCTATTTGAAATACATGAACTGTTGGTAGGAGGTGAGGACGGGCTTGGAAAACACTGAGGCTGTAGTCACATTTGTCCTCTTTAAAGGATATGGGGAGAGTAAAATGCACTCATCCCCATATTGAGAGCCAGCATGCCACACTGAAGCTGTCACACGTCGGCTCTATTGATCACATTCCGCTGATCGCTATGTTCCCGATCTTGTCCCTGCAGAGAGCGGTGACTGTCAGTCATTGCTCTCTGCAGGGATTCCCCCCTCTCCGGTCCTCCTGTGTTGACTGGACGGACAGACAGAAGAGGGGGTAGGCACAGCTGGCTCTGGCATTAGAGAGGCAGAAACAGCTGTCAGTCGGGCAGCGGGGTGGATCCTGACAATCATGTTGGGATCTTTCCCAGCTGCAGCTCAGCTCTCTGCTGTCAGCATATAGCAGGCTGTATCCCGCTATATGCTGAGTTTTGGCTCACAGGAGGACATTATTAAATGTTAAAGTTAAGTTTTAATGTTTTGGCTTTAGTTCTCTTTTAAGGACGTGCATTTCTATTGAATTCATGCATGTACATGGATACAGGTTTTATTGCACCTCATGTGTGTCTATGCGTTTGTATTAATATCAATGGAATCAAACTTGCATTAAACAAGCAGAGGCCACACTGCCAGATGCGCCATTTGACCGCAGCAGCCTTTACAGATACAGTTTTTTTCATAACCACTCCCGGCTGTCATTTTGACATCTATGAATTGCCAGCAAGTGCAACATTGTCCTTTGTACTTGACGTGCGTTGCACTGTACTGACCTTTACTGGTGTGTGTTGTATGCCCAATCTACACAACTAGGTAATTCCTGCTATTGTGTTCAGTGTGTGTGGCCAACTATCAACTACCAGTCTGCAGCAGATGTACAGAAGAAAGGAATAGAGTGGTGTATTTATCTTTGAACAGCCACTTTTAATGGACCGTAATCAGCTCAGGATTCAGGAATAAGTGAAAGGCTTGTGGAAGGGATCTGAAGATATGAGAAGTTTGTGAAGGGAAAGCCTCCATCATCCAACTTGTATTTCTCTGTTCCCATTTATGGAAGGCATTCAGTGTGTTGGCAGCTGTCATGTGCTGGATGTCAGGAATACACGGGCTCCTCTAGCTGTCAGTGTGCACAGATGATGCTCAGTCTGCCTGTGACTTGGCTTTTTAGAAAGGAAAATTGCCCGATGTTTGTTATATGAACACACGATGACTCCTACATGTGACGCTTTATACACAGAAACCTAGTATTTCTTGTCTGCTGTGTATAATGAAGTTACCAAGCCTCTGTTTGTTTCTGTATGTTTCCCTGGTAATCTAGATGAGGGAATGGGGAAGTTAATTAAGCCACTCGGTGCAAGTTATAGATTTCTAGTCATCGCTTTTCATATTTTAGCTCTTTTAAAGATTCCCCCCCCCCCCTTTGCTAGTGTGAAATCCAGCTTTAAAGCAGAACTCCAGGCAAAAGTGTTCTTAACCCTTGCAGTGGGGCCACCCAAAGAATGCAAGGGTTAAGTGCTTGTCTAGTCTAAGTTCAAAAATAGTCATACTCACCCAATCCTCAGAGCCAGCTTGCTCTTAGACTGGTCCTTTGAGCCCATCTTCCCCTCTGCTGCAGTGGTCTAAGAATCCTTATGTTCTATACACTAGAGCTGCAGCTAACGATTATTTTAGATTATAATCGATTTATGTCGATTAGTTGTTGCAGCCCTACTACTATACACAGTGTATGGTATGGAAGAACGCTGAGGGAAATATAATAACTGCAGCGGAGATGGATGAGAGAGAGATGTCTATACATATACAGTGTGTGTGTGTGTATATAGATAGATCTCTCTATAGATATATATAGGTGCACCGAAATAGAAATTTAAAAACTGAAACGAAATAGAAAAAAATTGTCAGGCCGAAACCGAAAATGTTGTTTTTTTATTTTAATTTTTTTAAATATTTAATTTTATTTTTTTTATAAACTTTTACATTTCTTTTATGTTTTATTTTTATTCATTTTTATATTAAATATTTTCATTTTTTACTTTACTTTTAGGGGCTTTGGGAAATATTAGGGGTCTAAACAGACCCCTGATATTTCCCTTTTTAAAATGGAAAAAGAGATTGAGATCTCTCTTTTACTGCAGCCCCTGTTATCAATGAACAGGAATCCTCTGATTGTTCTCATTGATAACTTGAGAATATAGTACGTTTACTATAACCACAATTATGAATGAACAGGAGGGGATATAGATAACTTCCATTCATTCATATTTGAGGATATAGATCACTCCCATTCATTCATATTTGAAGATATATTAACCATACCATATCCTCATTTATCTACAAACACTCAACAGTGTAGCTGTTGAAAACAGTAGCTGTTGGAAAGGTTTTCTAAGCTGCCTTATTTCACCTGATACCTGTAAGCCCGGGGTGGCTGGTGCTTGTCCTGATCCCCCAGAGTGAAGACACACTCATGTTTGTGGCCAGCCCTAGGGTTGCAGCTGCTCTGACCATCAGTAAAGCTTATGATGCCTTCCTTTTTTATTTTATTTTGCAATAGCCTGTCCCTAATGGCCCATCACCCCAAGCTATATGTGAGGCTGTAATAAATAGTATTGTTCACTACATTTGTTTTTTGTTCCAGGTGTGGATGCTGAAGAATGGGGTAAATTCCTACACACAAAGAACAAGGTACATTGCATTTAGCATCTCCCCCAGTGGAGATTTGTGTTTACTTCTGTTTAGTTACAGCACAGCAAGTCAGCGTATAACAAAGATTTAGATCAAATTTAGAAGCACAAAGTCTTGAATTCTAAATTTGTTTGTTCTTCCCTGAATTACGCCTTGATACTCTACCTTTAGTTACATTTAGTGTAGTATGATGTAAATTATGGGCATCATGTTTGATGAACAAAACAGTGTAAATCCTTTTGTAGATTATTAAAGGTTTATTACAAAAGGATTTTCTGTTTTTAAATGAATGCAAATGATATGCACCATGAAAACATAGTGTCAGTAGTGCAGATGCAGGATTTACAAGGATCGGGAGCTGCAGATTTCTCTTGCGGAATCACCCGCTGGTGAAATCTGGTATTGTTACATAGTCATAAAGATACAAATGAGAAGCACTGAACCGGCAGGATAGTCGTATCTTTCTTCTATACCTACAACACAAACCAAATAGATGCTTTCCATTTAAATTGGTGATCCCATTCTCAAGGGTCAGTTTTACTTCCTCTTAATGCAGTGACGCCTGAAACTAAATCGAAACATGTTGTATATATTTGATATCCCTGGATATGGTTCGCTACTTGCTTCTCATCATTGCCTAGTAATGTAATGTTGTATGCTGTGTATTTTGAACTTTAACTGTGATGTTGAATTGATGTCTTTGTCTCCTTTTTAGATATACACAGACTTTGACGAAATCCGTCAAGAGATCGAGACTGAAACTGAAAGAATTTCTGGCAACAACAAAGTAAGATCAGTTTTATTGTAAGACATCCAAAGCTGTAAACTGCTTTATGATTTTACAGGCAGATATTCGGGGCTCACCTTTTTCTATCATGACTGCATTTTAGTCTACTTTGCTTCCTCTTTTACCAGCTGAAGCAAGATTTTTCGTGATATGGCGAAGCTAAACAGGGAACTTATAAAACAGTCTGTCTTTCAAGCGGTTGAAGGAAATGGCTTTGTTCAGAAAACTAGCAACCATCACATCTAAATTTTAACTGGCATTGGCTGTGTTTTTTTACACGCAGAAAGCGGATTGTTGTAGGGTAGGTTCACACCATTTTCCGGACCAGATCTGGTCCGGAAAATGGTGTGAACTTGCCCGCAGTTTAGTGCATTTCAGACCAGACAAAATGACACATGCATTTTTTTTCTGGTCTGGAACAGACTGAGCTGCTGTGAACAGAGGCTGCATTTTGGAACTGGAAACTATCTGGTCTGGTGATTATGTGCATGTGGTGTGAATGGGCCCATAGAACTTATCTTGAGTTGAGATCGCAGAGCCATTGCTATATCCCTCTGACATTGGCCTCAGTAGGCTTCATTCACTAAGCTATAACACTTCTTATTTGCTTTAATCATTTTTCTCAGCCGTGTGACTCATTGCTGAAAACACATCTTTCTAGCAAACTATCAGTGTAGCTAAAAACATAGCTCCAGGTTCCAGGCTTGATGTCTTTCAACCCAGATGATTGAAGACATTTTGTAATGAAGAAGAACGGGAAATATCTCTGGACTGAAGGTAAGTATTGCAGCCAGGTTTTTTTTATATCCTTTAGAAGGTTTAAAAAAAAAAGTGCATAGGTATGCTTTAAAGCCCAACTTTAGCCTCCGCAATTTATACTTTGCAAGGATGATGTGACAGCCCCGCTCCTCCTCCAATCATAGAATGCCTGAAAAAAGAAATGTTTTGAATGTGCAATAGAGAGGAGGGGCAGGTGATGCAACCAGAGCACTTCACTGTTTAAGTTGCATCTCTCCCTCCCCTCAGTGCCTGGAAGCTCTGCATTATGTGTAGGAGACTTCGTGCTGCAAGGTAAGATTTTTAGAATTTGCAGCGACCTTCCCCACATAACATCCAGCTTTTCAATGATCATTTACACACCAAGTGCGATATGTAAATTATCATTTGTTATCACAGTGTGACTTCAATGGGATTTTAAATCTATTAATCTTGTATAGCTGAGACAATAAAGACAAACTGTAGTAGGAGAAGGGCTGATGTGTCGGGATAGTTGTAACGTTTCAGGCGGGAATCAGTGGGTCGCAGGGAGACGCAAGCATCTGACATAAGTATGTGAAGGTGAAGCTTACAGTTGTGCCTCTAGCTCTGCAAGTGAGAGAAATTTCATTGCAACATGGTATCGGTTTCCATATGGAGTTTGTAGGTGTATCGCCAAACAGAGGTAGTCTGCATTCAGAAACACGGCTTTGGCCCCCTATGGAAGTTTACTCTGTCATTTGCTTATGTACCCGTACAGCTGCGGCTTCGGCCAAACTGTCATTGATTTGTACAGGCCAGCTATACTCTGCTGTATGGTGCATCTGTCACTCCTGGCCAGAGAAATACCACAGGATGTATGCTTTGCTGCCATGCGCAAAAGGCCTTCTACATTTATTTTATAAAGCTGCATTGAAACTTTAGCTTCCTTAATATAAGCAGAGAAACCCATCCAGTATGCACCCTTTTTCCTTTCCCCTGCTGTTCTTTCAGAGTTGTACTAGTACTGTCAAGTGCAAGTTCAAATTTCTTTCTATTTTTGATAAGCCGTCTGCAGACAAAGGCCTCTCTGCGTATAAAAGTTGGCTAAAGGATCTCTGGCTTCCCTTTACATTTAATAATCCTTAGATGTGTGAGCAAGGAGCATGCACATCTAAATATTTTCTGTGAATTCCTTCTTCATATAAAAGCTGAAAATCAAGTCCTCTCTTCCCCTCCCAGCACATGATCTTCTCTCATTTCTGAGCATACATGACTCAAGACTTCCTGCTCTCTGCCCGGATAGGATAATGTCCTTTTTATCTCAGCTTACCTGATGTCCGCTGTGGTTTATTTTTTTCAGAGGAATTTTCTTGTATAAAGTAATGTATTTACTTCACTTAATTTTTTTAATAAAAAAACACATTTAAAAGCCAGGACTACTTATGTCTGCGGTTATCCAGAGTCTTACTACTGGACCACAGAGTGGCAGGATCCTTCATTAAATGTCCACATCACTGCCTCTGATTCGGTGATAGCTGCCCCAGATATGAGATTTATGGGCTGTAAAATACATATGGGCATAACTGTAAAATACAGTCATAGAAATTGTGCTTTTTATTTATATATTACTTATACTTACAGACACACATGTATATATAATGCACCCCTGCATTTCTGTCAGAGAATGCACCACTTCACGGAGAACATTGTTGCAATTACAAATGTTTATTTCTTTTGTTTGTATTGGTATGACACAAAAAGTGGAGGGAAACAAAAAGCCAAACCTGAAACATTCCACACAAAACTCCAAAAATGGACTGGACAAAATTATTGGCACCTTCCCAAATTGAAATAATTGCATTCCAAGTTTTTGTGGAAAAGCATGGACAATCTCAAAGTTTTATAAGTCCATCTCCAGAGATCTTAGTGTTCCTGTGTCCACTGTGCGCAACATTGTCAGGAAGTTTACAGCCCATGGCACTGTAGCTAATCTCCCCGGACGTGGACAAAAGAGAACAATTGATCAAAGATTGCAAGGAAGTATTGTTTGAATGTTGGATAAAGACCCTCGATCAACTGCCAGACAAATCCAAGCTGACCTTCAGGCACAGGGTACAACTGTGTCGGCTCGCACTATACGTCGCCATCTGAATGAAAAGGGAGGCTATGGTAGGAGACCCAGGAGGACCCCACCGCTGACACCGAAACATAAAGCCAGATTGGATTTTGCCAAAACTTACCTGAGGAATCCAAAATCCTTTTGGGAGAATGTGCTGTGGACAGACAAAACAAAATTACAGCTTTTGGTAAAGCCCATCATTCTACTGTTTTCAGAAAAAGAAAAGTGGCCTTTAAAGAAAAAAACTCCACACAGTCAAACGTGTTGGAGGTTAACTTATCTTTTGGGGTTGCTTTGCTGCTTCAGGCACTGGATGTCTTGACTGTGTGCATGGCATTATGAAATCTGAAGACTACCAAAGAATTCTGGGGTGCATGTAGGGCCCAGTGTCAAAAAGTTGGGTCTCTGTCAGAGGTCATGGGTCTTTCAGTAGGACAATGACCCAAAGCACACGTCAAAAAGCACCCAGAAATGGTTTCAGACAAAGTGCTGCAGAGTCCTGGACTGGCCAACAATGAGTCCAGATCTGAATCCCATAGAGCACCTGTGGAGAGTTCATGTTCAGCGCATTAATCCTGTATGCAATATCACGGCTGACATTTATTTTGTGTTTTTAGGGTATTAGCTCAGAACCCATCCATCTGAAGGTCTTCTCTCCTAATGTGGTTAACCTGACGCTAGTGGATTTACCAGGGTTGACTAAGGTACCAGTCACTCAATACTGCCTAATTTATCAATGCATTACTGAATAGATTGAAAGCTTTAAATTAAATCGACTTAACAGTTATACTTGTTGATGTGATTGAAATCTCTTCTCACTTTAGGTACCGGTGGGTGACCAGCCTAAAGACATCGAACTGCAGATCAGAGAGCTCATTTTCAGGTACATCAGCAACCCCAATTCCATTATTCTGGCAGTCACTGCCGCCAACACGGATATGGCAACATCCGAAGCTCTGAAAATTGCCCGGGAGTGCGATCCTGACGGTGAGTTTCAGATGGTTAATTTCAAGGTGTAAATAAATTCTCAGTATAGAACAGCATCTGCTTTTCTTTGTGTGCCAGCCTGATGGATGGATCGATACACATTAATGTTTAATATTGATCTGAATAGTGTCCCTGTTTCTGCACACGGTTTGCTAAGCCGAAACTAAATGACTGGAGGTTTTTTTAAGCTCGGCGTACTTTATGTGATGTGAGCTTGTCTGTGTGAGGGTTAAATGGTAACAAGAGTTTTACATAAAAATGCGCCCACTAAATGGTAATACAGTGGGTGTGGGTAAAGCCCACACCCACTAAATGGTAATACAGATGCAATGTACTGCCATGGCCTGCCAGTTCGGTGTGGACCCAGGCACCTGTGTTGTTGTGTATGGGCACAGCACTTGGTTATCCCCTTCCCGACCCATGACAGGATAATCCTGCCATGAATCCTCAAGGGGTTAAACAGACTCCCGACTCTGTTCAGATTTGTAGAGCCGGCAGCCGGCTTTACAGTAGAAGCAATTCTGACGGCTAAGCTGCCGCCAGATCGCTTCTACAAACCGGTAACCCCCCCCCTGCCCAACACCCTTGCCATGTTTCCTGGCCTCCGCTGCCCCTCCTACGGGCCCAGGAACGGCATTTCGGGGGTTGGCGGGAAGCTGGCGAGTAGAGTAGATGTCCTTTCAGCAATCTCCCTGTTCTATGGGACCGGGAGCGACGCGTATTGCATCACTTCTGGTCCCTGAGCTGTCATTCCTGGGCTCCGAAAGACCAGCAATAAGCTACTGAAGTGTGATCTGCACTTCAATAGCTTATTTAGAGTGTAGAGGGGATACATAGTGTTTTGGGGCACTAAATTTAACTTAAGTGCATTTTTCACTAAATGTTTGGGTTTGATAATAAGTTGTGCTAATGTCATGCAACATAAAAATTTGCAACTACCGCCATTTTATTCAATAGGGTCTTGGCTTTCAGAAAACATCATGTTTGAGGGTTTTAAGTAATTTTCAGGCCTAAAATGGATTATACATGTAAACAGAGAAAAAAGGTCCTTAAGGGGTTAAAGAGTTGGAGAGCGTGACACATTTTTATTTGAAACGACAGTTTCGAATTTTCAGCTGCACTGTCCCAGAACAAGGACTGTTGAAATAGCTTCTTGCATCTGATAAGTGTCTGCTTACTTCTCGCAGGTTCTCTCTAGGGGCATGACGGGTGGTGGGAGTGTTTGGAAGGCAGCTTATTCTCCAATGATTCAGGGCTTCAGAGTTAAGTCTGACTTTTACCTCGTTCCTTTTCGTTTGGCAGGTCGGAGAACGCTTGCTGTGATCACCAAACTGGACCTCATGGATGCTGGGACAGATGCCATGGATGTCCTCCTAGGAAGGGTCATTCCGGTTAAACTGGGCATTATTGGAGTTGTTAATAGGTAGGAAGTTTGTGTTTTTAATTAAATATGTGTATGTATCATCATCAAGATAAACTATAATTCAGGAGCTTAACTCAACCCCCACCAGTTGCACATACTCATCTTCACATTGCTCCCCCCTACTCCGTTCATCCACTGGAAGCTCGGGGGCATTAGCTCTGTGTAAGCTGCAAATCGTGAGCTTACACATGGCTGAGAACTGAGGAAGGGTTGATTCAGTGGCTAAGATTCACGCATCAGTGCTGTCAGATGGAAGGGAGGTGAGTCACATGCTCCCCCAGTGCTTTGGAGCATCAGGTATTTTGCTTCCCTCCTAGAACTGACGGGGAGGTGAAGGAAACTGGAATATGTTCTGCTGGTGTGGTCATTAAAGGAGAACTATGAGGTGAGTGCTTTTCACTCACCTCATAGTTCTAGCCGACCTGTGACAATGAGACTGTCACAGGTCGGCTCAGTAGATCGGGAGGTGAGCGAACACATACCGGCGTTCGCTCACCTCTCGATCCTGTCACAGCTCTCTGCTGTGACAGGGGAGGGGCTGGATTCCCCCATCCCCGCTCCGATCTGCCAGCGCTGACTGGCAGAACGGACGGGGAGGGGGCGGCTACAGCTGGCTCTGCCTCTAGATAGGCAGAGCCAGCTGTCACTCGCGCAGCTGGGCGGATCAAGACAGAATTGTCGGGATCTGCTTCAGCTGCGGCGTCTCAGTATACCGCGAGCTACAGCTCGCGGTATACTGAGCCTAGGGTGACGGGAGGACGCTAGTTTGTGTCCTCCCGTTACCCTAGGGAGAACTATGGGGAAAAGATTTAACCCCATAGTTCTCCTTTTAATGAATTGAATCTGTTGCTTTCCCTTGAGTGGGCAAAACACATATTTGGTTTAAACAGAAATTGTCCCGTCCTCCCCCTCCTAATGTTGGGTTGTGGGATAATTCTTGGTTTTGACATGGCTTGTGCTCAGTCCAGTAAATACTCCTGACAGTTTTGGGCTGTACATTTAATGGAACCTGCTGTATTTGTTGTTTCAGGAGTCAACTGGATATTAACAATAAGAAGTGTGTAGCAGACTCGATCCGGGATGAATTTGGTTTTCTTCAGAAGAAGTACCCTTCTCTGGCCAATAGGAATGGAACCAAGTACCTGGCACGCACCCTGAACAGGTAACACCCAGCTGGAAGCCCTATCGCAGGCCTAGGGGCTGTGAAAATGTGGATAATTGCATGTTTTGTTAAAACGGACCTTGCGTCTCAATAACAAGGTCTGCTTATTTGAAGTGCCCCCTCCACCTCCCTAAAATGCTGCAGGAAAGTGCAAAGAAAAAACCCTCCGAGTCCTCCTTCCAGCCAGATCTTGGAGTATGTTGAGTAGGGCAAATCTCATGACAAAATGATCCTGTGCTGCAACATCTTCTCACAAGAGTTGTGCTTACTGCTAGGGATTTTGTCCCCCACAGATTCTTTTTTTGCACTTTTATGCTGTGTTTAAGGAATGGGACGCAGGGGCACACTGAATAAACAGACTTTGCCTGAAGTGCAAATCTGTTTGTTTTACACATTTACATAGCACTTTACAGAGTGCCTGGGGCCATTCACATTTGTCCCTTCCTCCAAATATGTTTTACAGTCTAATTTCTCTCCTACAGTCAGAAAAATACACATATGGCAATGCCAATATGTATGGAAGGTTATTAAAGGAGAACTATGAGGTGATTGAAAATCACTCATCCTCATAGTTCGAGCTGACGTGACAATGAAACTGTCACATGTCGGCTCAATAGATCGGGAAGTGAGCGAACGCATACCATTGCTCGCTCACTTTCCGATCATCTCCCTGCAGAGAGCAGTGACTGTCAGTCACGGCTCCCCGCAGGGATTCTCCCCCCCTCCCCGCTCTGATCCTCCAGCGCTGACTGGAGGAATGGACGGGGAGGGGGTGGGCACAGCTGGTTCTGTCTCTAGATGGGCAGAGCCAGCTGTCACTCACGCAGCTGGGTGGATCTCAGACAGTATTGTCGGGATCTGTCCCGTCTGCAACGGTCTCAGTATACAGCGAGCTGTAGCTTGCGATATACTGAGCTTTGGGACACAGAAGGATGCTAGTATATATACTAGCGTCCTCCCGTGACCCTAAAGAGAACTATGGGGAAAAACACTTAAACAATAGTTCTCTTTTAAAGTAGACCTAAATCTCATCTAAGCTTTAAAGTGAGCCGCTTACCATAGTAACAAATACTAAACAGACACCCTGTAAAACAAGCAGGTTTATACTTGCCTTTCTAGCAATGTGTTAAATCTTCACTCTTACAGAATTCTGCTTTTTGATGTTATGTGACTTTCAGTTGTGTTGAATAGCTTGTCAGCCATCATCACTGTGGCTCTTACTGTGCAGACAGGATCTCTTTAAAAGGTTAATTTCATTTTGAAAAATTGTGCTTCATTTTTCTAAAAGCTGTTAATTAAAGGATACCAGGAAGGGTGACAAAGGTCTCTGACTTGTGCTCCTGCATTGTCATCCTCTCACATGCACCCCTGCTGGAGACTCAAAGCAGAAATTTCATAGCTTATATTCGAGTCAATACTTTTTCCCAGTTTTTTGTGGTAAAATTAGGTGGGACGGCTTATACTCGAGTATATACGGTATTTAGGGTTTATATCAACTTTAACCTACTTGTATGTTTATAAATGATGTGAGGAAAATTGAGCACCCTGTTACAGCGACAACATTCAAATGCCATACAGATCTTGGTGGTAGTCAAACCCAAGAACTCAGTGCTGTAAAGCAACAGTACTTCAACCCTGCTTGAAAGTATTTGTATCTATTTAATCTCCATGTTATACTTGTTTGCAGGCTACTGATGCACCACATTAGAGACTGTTTGCCGGAACTAAAAACCAGGATCAATGTTTTGGCAGCTCAGTATCAGACACTGCTGAACAGCTATGGTGAGCCGGTGGAGGACAAGAGTGCAACCTTGCTGCAGCTCATTACGAAGTTTGCCACTGAATATTGTAACACAATCGAAGGGACGGCAAAATACATAGAGACATCAGAACTGTGAGTACGCACCATGTCTCTGAATGCTGACTCTTGTTTTCACTGTCACAAGACATTGTCTATTGTTTGAAGTAGGGATGCACCGATACCGGGGCTTTTTTTTTAAATCGAGTACCGATATTTATATTTCTATACTCTCCGATACAGAATACAGATATCGGTACTTCCGCTAGCATGGAGCCGACTTCCCACCGCCTGCTTCCTGATTGGCTGGGAAGCCTGCTCCATGCTGTTGGACCGGCTCAATGCTGATTGGCTGGGAAACCGGCTTCCCAGCCAATCAGCATCAAGCAGTCTAAACAGCTTGGAGACGGCTTCCTGGCCAATGGGGAAGCCGGGAGACAAGTCATTACCCGCCACCTAGCTTCCTGATTGGCCGGAAATCCGGCTCCATGTTCCCTCGCGGCACTGCCGGTCAAAGAAAATCTCTGTCTGACCGGAAGTTCCGATATCAGGGTTAAGTATTGGAGAATTTGGGTGAGTTCGAGTACTCACAGAAATACTCTGTATCGGTACTGATGCTAGTATCGGTGCATCCCTAGTTTAAACATTTCACTTCTAAAGCCTTGAATACTGAATCTTGTCTTGGCTTACACTTCTCTCTATCTCCGTAGCCGGTCACCACAATGTTCCAGAGTTTAAACTGTTTCATGACTTAATTTGACAGGTGCGGTGGAGCGAGAATTTGCTACATCTTTCATGAAACTTTTGGGAGGACGCTGGAGTCAGTCGATGCATTGGGTGGACTGACCACAATCGACGTGCTTACAGCCATCAGAAATGCAACGGTATGTTTTTTGGAATATCCACGTTCCTGAAAGTGTCTCTTTAAGACTAAACTCCAGGAAATGGCTAAATACACAAATGAGATACATAAACGGGAACGGTTTTATCTGCCAAAGGATTTGTATTTCTGCCATCCAGTTCTGAGATTCTGACACGCATCACTGCCATGTCTGCATTATATATGGTGCATTTAGTTATTTTAACTAGTTCTTCTCCCTGCACCAGCCTGTGTTTAGACAGTGAAGGAAAATCTGCCATAGTTCTCTTCAGGGTCACAGGAGGACATACTATATGCTGGCAGTGCAGAGCTGCACTGCACCTGGGACCGATCCTGACAATATTGTTGGAAACCACCCCGCTGCCTGATTGACAGCTGGCTCTGCCTCCCTAGAGGCGGAGACAGCTGTACCCGCCCCCTCCCCCGTCCGTTCCCCC